AGTACAAAATAGGAGCAGAGCAAACACGGACCTCCGAAACATCAGAGGTGGGATCAGGTGTCACAGAGGAGTGAGCATCACCTGCTGACCGGTCACACCCGCCATGTGCTCCTTCTCATGAGAAATAACGGGAAATTCCGTCGTCAATTCAATGTATAAATAGTGGACTAACAGTTAGTATGAAAAACGTCAGATGAATTGTATTTGCTGACAAGGTCATCGTATCGACCTTAGAACTTAATGAACGAAATGATGACTTTAAGCGAGACTGTTGATATTCTTTTTTCATCAACTTGCTAGTCAACAATTTACCTCGTTTTAGAAATTGTTCATACGTAGAACATGCTCTTGCGTTTCGAATCAACTGAGAAACACTCCGTATGCAGGTGATAAAGGTGCATATTGCTGCATAAGTAAGAGAAGTTCACGATAGAAAAGTTAATCATCACGTTTATCATATAGCTTGTTGTTAGACGTTACCATTAACGTCTTTTTCAAGTAAAATATCCAAATATGAAACACATTAGTTAGACTCTGTGCTATCTTTTATCTCAAGCTCTCCAGGATATATCGTATCGACATAAGAATGGAAATTACCATGATCGTTAATTGACAATACGTCGTCGATATATCTAAATGTCGAGTTGAAGGCCACAGCAAGTGTTTTCTTCTTTTCACACATAAGATTTTGCACAAAATATGCTTCATATGAATACAAAAATAGGTCTGCTAATAACGGAGCGCAATTGATACCCATGAGAATTCCAATAGATTGTTGGAAGACCTGGTCTCCAAAAGCCACATATAAATTGTCAATCAGAAACTCAAGCATCTTTTTGATGTAAACCTCAGAGTACTTGTGTGTGCTATCAGAATGTGTTTTAACAAAATAATTTTGCAAATGACCAAGTAAGTAAATTTAAGAGTTCCATTTGTATTGAAAAAGCAGCTGTCAATGATATCAAAAAGCCTGGACTTCAATTTATCGTAGGGAATGGTTGGGTATAAAATTGAAAAGTCGTAAGTTTTTAAGCTAATGATTTGGGTAAAATCTTGTGATTTCAAATTGTCCAAAAGTTTTTTGGAATTTTTGAGTATCCACCTCTGATTCACACCACTTCTTCAATATATTGCTGAACAGTTTTTCCTCCACTACTGTTAATATCTTAGTGAGGAGTAACGAAAGAGGCTTGGTTGAACATTTACTGGAACCCGCAATGTATCTTTGTTTGTAAGGATTCTTATGAAATTTCGGAATCCAATCTGAATGTATATAGGTTAGTTCAAATTCATTTTTGCTCTGTTGAAAAATATTCAAAACTGACACCTGATTTTGAAGAATTTCTTCCTTAGAAAGGGAAGTATAAGTAGGAACAATCTGTTTCTCAAATCAGCTGACCGCTGTTTTATGAAGTTCTTGTGTATTACGTGATTACGCGTATGACGTTTCACACACGTATCTTATCCGCGTATTATATTCGATAGTGTTAGGAAGCTATGTTGCCTTTGCAATTGGATAACATACATGGTTAAGGATGCTGTTTTGGATAGAAACGTGTTAAAAGATGATTGTAGGTATTACACTATATAAGACCTCAGATAGAATTTATATGCCCAAGAATTGGGTCGCAATGAATTATCTGTTTGGTTTCTAAAGTATAGATAAAGTGCATGTGAATCTCGGTCAAGGAATTTCGGGTTATAATATTTCGATAGATAGTTCTATCTCAAAACACAATTCAATAATCATGAATAATAAAATTAAATGCAAATATATATACTCGATTTACATGTTTCATATCGCGATTTCATAAACGATTATCCGGAGTAGCTGTTCAGCTCACATGGCATTGTTGTTACATGAATTTATTTATCTGATTATAAAAAAAAAGATAGAAGCTGTGTTCGTAACACGGGCCCGTTCCTTCTAAAATACATTCGCCCTCGAGTGTTGGTCATCAAAGAGCCACAATAAAGGGGAGAACGCAGAGAAAAGGTAAATGCTACTTTTGTTTTAACATTTGAACATAAACATATAATTTATAACAATAATATCACAGATAAACATGGAAAATGATCACATTGAATAACAAGATGAATGACAATCATAAATATTATGGACATGCATGATGTAATGATAAATAATGATAATATACAATGAGAACAATTATGAGATGTATATATAAATAAATTAACATGAATATTAATAATCAATCACACTTCAATATCACAATCATTGTTTATCTTAGTAGATCTTCCTCCCATAAGGAAAGGGAAGAGGAAATTTCGTCTCCTCAGCCAGTGTCAGGTAACGAAGGCCTTAAACAATGGATTCCACATAAATCTGTCGTAAAATGTCCTTGTCTGTTGGAAGGAATTTTGGGAATGCTTCTGGTGAACGGAGGTAATCCAGGATAAAGTCGAAATACAATAACAAACACTGGGCTGCCTATCTTCCTGATGGGTTCGAAAGGGGACGTTGGCTTTACCACCTCGGCTAGGAGGGAAAATTGATCTAGATTTGGATTCAAACGTTGTTTCTGTTGAAGCGTCATGCCTTCCAGATTCACATTCATGGGATCTGTAGAGGGAACATACTCCGGTGGAGCAGGGTTTTCCTGGACTGTATAAGTCTTAGTGCTCTCCTAGTTTAAATTCTGGCTAAATGTAGGGACTTGGTTCTGTAATCCTAATTATGTTGTTGTGCAAGTATTTTAAATTGTGTGAGGTATTCATAAAAAGCTATTTATAGTATAGTTTTCCCAGAATGCACGACCGTAATGCCGAGCACGCGTATTCCAGGAATTTGGACTGTTTCAAATAACGCCACAAGTAGAGCTTTTCAAAAAAGCTTACCGTCTTTAGCAACAATTTTAAACAGTAAACAGATCTATACTTAACAGGCCGTATAATTCTTTTGAATTTCTTGATGTTGTATTTCTAAATTAGCTTTTTATGGGCATTGGCCCTACCACGGTTGTCGCTCGTTCATCTCCGTAAACTTTGACTGGCCGAGAGTTTTCGGCAAACCTCGGCTGATTCCCATTCACTCTTCAAACAAGAAAGGGGAAAAGAATAATAACAAATTGTAAAGCCTGCAAGCAATAACTATCAAATTTTATTTATAATGAAATTAAAGAGAACTTTTTATTTATTGCTGTAAAAAATATCATGTTATTAAGAAATAATTACTGCTGATTTTGTTGTTCGTTTTGTCATTTTTTTAAGATTGGAAATCTTGCAAAATTGTTAAGTCGTACGAAAAATAGATCATCAGAAAGTTATCTCCCTTGCCTTGAACAGTATTTCAACCAATGAAATAATTGAAAATTTTCTCATCATGCAATTTCTACCAATCACAAAAGAGAGGAAGTGCATAGTCCGAAGACTGTAAAAAACTTCAACTATATACAATACCGTCTTCCAAGGAAGACGGTAATGACCTTGTGACCTTGTCTGTGACCTACATGCTAAAAATAGCTTCGAACTTTCGCCATAACTTTTGAACCATAGGAGATAGAAACTTCATATTGGTATGCATACTCCACTAATTAAGTGCTTTCAAATGACACCAAGGACAATGATCGTGTGACCTTGACTGTGACCTATATGCTATAAATTGCTTTTTCGAACTTTGTTGCCGCCGGGAGCAGTGTTTTACAAACATATCTTGTTATCTTATCTATAAAATTGCTTTCTGAACAAAATGAGATAATTACAAAATTTAGAATGTAATTATTTTGCTACAAATCAGTTCTCTTGATGGTGATTCAGCGATTGAATTTCCCATACATGTATGCTTATTTTTTGTATCCAGGGCCAGGTGCCTTTGCTTTGAGTCATTTGTGTCAATCCTGGTATTGCGATTGTATTTACAAAATGGTTCAATTATCGCGTCTGTTAAATTTGTTTAATAATGATAAATTAAATAATTTGGTTATTGACTTTTTTATGGTGTAATTTGCGAAATTTAGGGTTCACAAAATCAATGCCAAAATATACGGATTCTGTATTTTGGTGTACAGATTTATAATAAGAATATCTAGGTTAAGTTTGATTTTGGGTACGATCGAGTCATTCTTGACAGAGTTATGCCCCTTGGATTTAGAAAAATTCCAATTATTTGCATTTTCCGTTCATCTTCTTCGCAGAGGTTGCACGTCATTATTACTAAAATGAACTTTGATATAAGATTTATCATATGAATTTTTAAGTTATGTTTTGGGTACGATCGAGCTTATTGGGACAGAGTTGTGTGTCCTTTGGACATAAAAAATTCCAGTATATACGGGGAAGGGGGGATAAGTGTTTTACAAACGTCTTTTTTTCTCTTTTTTTTCTTTTTTGCTGAACCTTTTGATAATTTATAAGGTTATAAATAAAACAATGCTGGACTCAGAGATCTAATTTAGCATGGAAAAACACCAACAATGCAAGCTGCACTCTAAGCATTGTGTCATTCACAGGGAGTCGCCCGCATGGCGCACTGGTTAAAATGTCTGCTCAAGGGTCGCGAAATAATCCTTACTTCGCGGGTTCGCATCCCACTGTTGGACGTGGAGACCGGTCCTTCGGATGAGAACGTATTAACCGAGGTCCATTGTCGCAGAAAAGTGCTGACACGAAAAAGAAAAATCACTGTTCAATGGCCGTAAGTGTCGAGTATAAGCAGCTCTCCACCCGCAAGTGGTAGCGTCTCCAAATGAGTGAAAAATTCACTATAGGAGTGATTTAAACAACATAAAAATAAATACTGGGGGTATTCACAGTGACTTTAGTATTGAAATGGTTTAGAAATAGTCGAAACAGTCTTCCTATTTTATATATTTTAGTTGTCTACACATATAAACGAGTCGACTCACTTTTATACTTCGTGTAACAAAATGGGGATTTGTCCTGTGTCAAAAACTGATTTGAACTTTATCATTGAAACTATTATGACCGATATTTACCAACAAACGAGGACAGACTTACCACTCCCACTATTGATAAGTTACCATCAGTATACCAAACGTTTAATCCTTTCTTTCGCTGTTTCAAGATGTTTTGGGCTATTGTTTCTCTCTATGGATTCCTGTTCTTTCAGTTGACATTAGGTAAAGCTTGAAATAATGCTTCTTTTAAAGACAGAAATCAGAATTACCTTTGTTGACACTTTTCAGGATAAGTATAAATTTAAGCATAGAATACTTCAATAATATGAAATGACTCTTGATTATTCCCTATATAGAAAAAGTTCAGAAAGAGTGATTTCTAAATTTAGTTACAGCTAAGTAGATCACTTTATTTATAACGCGTACCTGACCTTGTTGTTCCCCGCTTTTGTGAAAGCGAGGGACCATTAAATCTCATTTGTCTGTCTTTCCGTCTGTCACAAAAATTCAACCTTGGTCATAACTTTTGATTATTTCACATGTACTGTAGATCAATAAATTTTCGCGACAGCTTATTTTCGCGATAGAGGCATTGATTCTTGATAAGCGAAACAAAATTTTCACGAATTGTGGTTATTGCCGTATAAAATCCTAAGGAATGTCATCATACGCGGGAATTAAATTTTCGCGAGCACACTGTCTCGCATAGTTACGCGAAAATAAAGTTCTCGCGAATAAAAAGTAATTTACAGTACATTACATGTGTCAATACCTTTTCAAATATACCATGATTTATTTTACCTCTTTGACCTTGAAGTTTGACCTAATTTTCAAAAATTAGAAAATTACTTTGTTATCAGCAGGCCTATTTTTATATCCATATGACGCATATTTTGTGCAAAATCTTATGCTTGAAAAGAAGAAAACACTTGCCGTGGCCTTCAACTCGACATTTAGATATATCGACGACGTATTGTCAATTAACAATGGTAATGTTCATTCCTACTTCGATACGATATATCCTGGTGAGTTTGATATAAAAGATAGCACAGAGTCTGACACATGTGTTTCATACTTGCATATTTTACTTGAAAAAGATGTTAATGGTAATCTAACAACCAAATTATATGATAAACGTGATGACTTTAACTTTTCTATCGTCAACTTCGATCCTTACTTATGCAGCAATATACCTGCATCACCTGCATACGGAGTGTATATATCTCAGTTGATTTGATATACGCAAGAGCATGCTCTACATAATGAACAATTTCTAAAACGAGGTAAATTATTGACAAGCAAGTTGATGAAACAAGAATATCAGCAGTTTCGTTTAACGTCATCATTTCGTAAGTTCTATGGTCGATACAATGACCTTGTCAGCAAATACAATTTATCATTGAGTCAAATGCTGACTGACGTTTTTCATACTAATTGTTAGTCCATTATTTATACACTGAATTGACGACGGATTTTTTTCGTTATTTCCTGATCATGACAAGGAGCACACGGCGGACGAGACCAGTCAGCAGGGGATACTCACTCCTCCATGACACCTGATCCCACATCTGATGTTTCGGATGTCCGTGATTCCTCTGCTCCTATTTTATAGTGTTTATCGATTTTGATATTGAATACTGTTCGTTATGTCCATATCCTTCCTTGGAGTTGCTCTTTGAATAAGAAAAAAGGACTTTTGTAATTAAAAAATATATAACCGGTAACAAGACCATTATAATGACTCTGTAACCTTGACCTTGAAATTTGACCTCATTAGAAAATCTTTCTTTATATCTTTGATTTAGAAGAGATTAATGATTTCATAATTGATCTATGCATTATCTTAGACAAAAAATTACCAGTATGCTATGATTTTTACCTCTTTGATCTTCAAGTGTGAACTAATTTTTATTAAAAAATTTATACCCTGGTGATTTTTTTTAAATGACATGATAGGGCGTTCATATTTGACACAATATATCATAAATTATGACATCCTACCCACTAACTTTTGGTTACATAGAATTTTATTATACCTGTACAGTTTTTTACCTGTATAAAAGTTAGGTAGTCTACGCCCGTAGTAAAATGTGAATAATTCCCTAGAAATCTATGTGAATCGAATTGGACTAATCATATGAGCTAATCTCTGCTTCGGAAGCTAATTCCCCGGTTATCCGTAATCTTAATCCTCTATATTTTACTTTTGTATCTGTCTAGTATGTTAATAGACTAATCCCCTAGTATTAGGCCGGAAGCTAATTCGCTATCATTCGTAATCCTCTATTTTTTTTTCTTTACATTTATATCGGTTTAATAAAACAGTTATTGTTAATAGGTATATTTAAACAAAAAGGGTGAAATGCTTCCCGTAAGACGCACAAAAATAGTTAACGCAAATGCATATATATAGTTATAAATTACAACTACAAAACAATAATCATTATGGCTTTATAAAGCATTCAAAGTATTTTTCAAATGTGATATTTGTTGCATTATTTCTGATTGAGAGAGCGAAAGGGGCGTGAAAGGAAGAGAAGTTGTTAAAAACTACAAAGTTGAACATTTGAAAAGTTTCCTTTGATCATGGTTGACGGCTATAATTTAAATAAATGAGTCAGAGCCCCTCAGTATATATGAAAAGCCAAATCTCATGTATATTTCAAAGTTGAAAGATGAGTTTTGATGTCATTTAAGTTTTTTTTTTCTATAAAATAATTCTTTTGTAGGTGCTTTAGATAATAGAGGAACCGAATTTATTATTACCTTCATGGACAACAAAATCTTAGAAAACAGAGATATTCAGCCAGAAATCTTCATTACAACAGCGAAAACCCACCTAGTTCACGTGACTGTGACGTCTCCGGGTGTAGGTAGTTCTCACCTTCATGAAACATTTTCTATCACAAATGGCCACGTGAAACGTGTCGCAGTGGATACAAGCTATCGTTTGAACCAAACAGAGCTTAGCAAAAAAGGTATTCTCATTCAAGCAGATGATGAAATTGTTGTTTATGGAGTGAACAGGGAGGTGTATTCCGACGACGGTTATTTGGCTTTGCCCACTGATGTTCTTGGTACCGAGTATTACACTATGTCCTACAGCCCATCTTACTATTATTGTGTTTTTGCTGTCATTGGGGTTCAAGACCAAACACATGTTTCAATACACCTTCCAAACACACCTCATCTGAACGTTACATACAAGGGCCATAGGTATCTTAAGAACGATTGGATCAATGTGACTTTAGACAGATTTAGTACATTTGAAATCCACGCTGTTCCAGATCTCAGCGGAGCGCATATAATATCCGATAAACCTGTTGGTGTATTAAGCGGAAACAAAAAGGCAGTGGTTGGAAACACTGGTGGTTCACGTGATCATTTAGTCGAGATGCTGCTTCCGGTATCATCCTGGGGCAAGAATTATGCTACTGTCCCTATTCCAGAGAGAACCGTGGGAGACATTTTCCAGTTCCTTGCCAGCGAAGACAACACCCATGTTAATGTAACAGGTGTTATAAATGGCAAAGCATTCCATGACCATTTTGTCATTCCAAAGGCGGGTACTTACGTCAAAAAAGAATACAGTTCTGCACTGTATTCCCACGTGACATCTGACAAACCAATATCTTTGTTTGAATTTTCCCTGACACAGAAAGGAGGCACAGATTTGGCAGACCCTGCTATGTTGATTGTACCCCCCATAGAACAGTATGCAGCTGACTATACCTTCACCACACCGGCTTATTCAAAGGGACAATATACAAATTACTTTATGTTCGTAGTAGACGCTTCCCAAAAGAACGGCTTACGACTCGATGGCAAGCCTTTGCCAAGTAACCAACACTATGTGACGATACCGGGAAGTCATTTAGTTGCTGGTTTTCATAAGATTCCTGTAGGGACTCATTCTGTTACACACACAAATCCAACTACGGTTATCGGAGCAATTCTTTTTGGCAAAGCAAACCTTGAATCATATGCCTTCCCCATTGGTTTACTACTCACCCCAGTCAACACGGTAAGAATTTTACCAAAAAAATCCAATATAAATCTCTTTTAGAGAGGGAGTTCCATAAACAGAGAAATGTTTACATCAAGAAAAATCCGACTGCTGTGTATTTTAGTATTTATGCTTCTATATTGACCTATAGTTTTGCACCCTGCTCCATTTATAACTCTGTCAAACACGAAAAAAAACCAAGGCCAATGCAAGAAATAGCTGTTAATGTCGTTTTTCCGACTGGTTATTTAAAATTCATTGTGCATTTCAGCTTGAGAAACATCTCAGACCAACTTTCACCATACATAAAAAATACGACCATGATAAACAAGCATTGAAATCGAAATACATTTTATTATCAATGAATATTGTTAAGGAAGCTCTAAACACTAATAGAAACTGTTTTTTTTAACTCAGAGAAAAATATATCATTTAAAAAAAATGCATATTGAGACTTTTTCATTTATTTAGAACATAGGGTACGTGCCTTATTTGCGCAGGAAAAATGTTCAAAGACAATGGACTATTTGTGAGCAGAAATCACTGTTGTTTACTTACATTGGGAAAATTAATGAAAATAATTAATCAAATTTCTTACTCTTGGTCTAATATAATGCTAAAAATATTTGAATCTATTATGAATTATGTAATTAATGGTAAATAACAATTTCTTTAATCTTACATATAAGGGCAGATCACTCTTACTGCATAAAACTACCCAATAAATAGAGCTCTTTCGTGTGCAGTGTTTAGAGCGTCCCTAATATGTGATTTTAAGAGGATTATTTAAATGACATGCTATGAAAGTCTTTATATAGCCGAAATCTAGAATTTCTTTCTCTTAATATTTTTGTTTTCAGAATTCTGAATTTTATGTGACTAAACATTAAAATAAACGTAATGCCGTTTGTAAAACGGAAAAAAATGACGAATTATAGATTTTAACATTCTTAGGGGAGTTGTGATTTGGTTTTAAATCAATAGCAGAAACAGGAAATGCATTTTTTTGCATATGTCCATTCTTTGATTTGCATTTAAATTGTTTTGCTAGGGATGCCGTGCTAAAACGATGCAGTACGGAGATGAAATAGACAATGATTGTGATGGGGAGATTGACGAAGAAAGGGCAGATGGAAAAGGTAAATGTACTGATTTGTTAACTTTTTTTTTAAAAAATCAAATAATCTTTCAGATAGTTTTGTTTTGCGGGTATAATGTTAGCATTAGAAATCTCATTGGCTTTAAATTTCAACTAATTTCTATTTTTAAATGTTAAAATATGTACAATTACAAGAATATTTAATTTCGTTTTTATAATACTCATTTTGTCAGCTGATTGTATGGTTGTAAGCCACGGGGAAGCAGATTATAACTCGTATTTTACGACAAATGAATAAGCAAATGATCGAAACGTTGAGTGAAGAAGCAAACTATGCGAAAAACTTGAGAAAAAAGACTGTAATTCTGTATGATCAAAGTAATCTTCCCATCGCTACAGAGATAGAAATTCCCAATTCTATGCAAGCATGCCAATGAAGTACTGATTCGTTTTTTTATCCTTCTGGTCCTGGGGCAAGGATGATCTACCCAAAAGAGTTCAAATTTTAGCATAGAAATAATGTAAATTACATATTCTTCTTAACAAGTGTGGGTTCTTATAATTTTCTAATTCATTTTCAGCTATATCAAATCGATTCAAAATCATTAAGTGTTTAGTCACTTTTTGCTGAAGGGGGAACACAAAAAAGATCTCTGATTGTAAAATAGAAGTAAAAGGAGTATCGAGTAAAATCTATTTTAGAATAATTTTTTTTTAATGGCCACAAATTGTATTGGGAAATAGATCAAATTTTCTGAAATATCAAAATTGCTGAATTGTCCTTTAAAGCAAAATGCAAAGCAATTTAGTTTTTAAAAAGAAGGTAATGAAGAAGTAGAGGATAAAGACTAAGAAAATAATTAAATTCAGAGAGTTTTCGTACCCGCTCTCGGTGTGATGCTGTATTGATTAAACCAATCTGCATATCAAAACTACCTTATCAATCTTGTCGTTGTATCCATCATACTAAAAATAAGTTATATACGAGGGTTGTCCCGTAAAATCGTGGACAAGTTGTCTAGTTCGAAAAATAATCATCACTGCGTTCTGAAATTTTCACCACTTTTTAGTAAATAAATTATGAATATACATAACAAATTTCAAATGGATATATGCATAGGTAAACAAATTGTGATATTTTATGTTATGTACTGTATCGCACTACGGCGCACGGATGATAACTCGTTTCATCTTTGCTAAACTTGAAGTTGGATAAGCCCCACTTAAATTTAGAAATTTTTATTGATTTATTTATGTGAGTATCTATAACCAGTAAAGAAACCAATGTGGCACACTCATGCGATCTTCTGAATATTTATTAGCAAGTTACAGACAGTATTCTCACCATCATTTAACTAAAAGTGAATCTCACATCGACGGTCGACAGTGACAGCATCCTTTGCTATTACAAATGGCAGTCTGTCTATATGTTTTGTACTATCTGGGGACTCTTTGTACTATTCTCCGAAGACTTCACTAAGAAAACTTTCATTTCATTTATATACTAAAGATCTGGTGATATTTTTCACATTTTCTTTCTTCTGTATTCATTTAAAGTCTCTTAAGGCGTCATTACAACATCATAATCTATCTGAACTGCTCTCCGGTGCGCCGTAACGTCATAAAAAGTCGCCATTTTTCGTGTATTGCGTTTATTACTTTCCCATTTCAAATGCTCAGGAAACTGCCAAAAATTAACCAAATGCCCTGAAATTTTTAAAAAGACGACAGAATTGATTACTGAATGGAATAAGGATAATTTTCATCCTAATCTTATGTATTGAAAACTTTTATTACGAATTAATTCGTATGTCTTCTCTAATATAACCTTGCTATTTTTACCGTGCGCCGTAGGACAATACCTTGTGCACATTCAAGCAGAATAAAATCTTTATTTTTGAATATATATAATAAAAAACATTATGATTCACTTAAATATGATGAATAAACATTTACTGAAAATTTCAGCTTAGTGCACACATTACTTTTCGAGAAAAACGCTTTGTCCACGATTTTATGGGACAACCCTCGTATATACGAGTGTTAAGTTGTCCAAAAAGTTCGTGGACAAACTGCATAAAGGAGTTATTGCATGGATATACTAAAAACTTCTATTCTTTCAGGTTGATGATAAAAAATAGGCTTTTCTACAATGTATATAGAGAAGCTATATTTACTTTGTATCAAAATGACATTTCTGTTCACGTTTTTACTGCTAAAGAGAAATATTGAGAAAGATCCTTTTATTTTGCTTTTTTTTGGGGGTCAAAAACATCAGTCAGAAAAGTTTTAAAATTTATTTATTTTCTTTTATGGAAGTTAAAAAGCGGCGTTATATTCTCTATATATAAGTAATCCAGAAATTTCTTGTATTTCCTGATTTTTATCCTGATATGATATATGTAAAGATGTATCTCGCCCAAGATTTTTTCTTTGAATTTTTAGACAATGACGGAGATGGTCGTATTGATGAAGATTGCGATGCATTCCACCCAAGTAAGTTTGTAAGCAAAAGAAACAAAAGGAATTCCTTTAGACTATTATTCTTGTTTGGTGCATCAATATGCTAAATGCAGTATGTCCATTTGATGTACACGTCTTAAAGTTATTGCGTCGGAAGCAAATTGAAAGAGGAAGGGAGGGGGGTATATCAATCCTGAAAAAAAAAAAACGGCTAAAAAAAGGAAAAATAGTAAATTCTCCTAACGCGAAAATCTTCCGTACCATTTTTTTTTCTCAATTCTCACACCCTAGCTACCGCTTACCCTTCTTTGGCTACACTGTTCAAGCCTAGCTCTACCTGTTGAAGGGGGGGGGGGGCTAATCCTACGCCCCAATGTTCAATGCATATATATTGTATCTATCTTTGCAAAAAGATGGTTCCGACGCCTATGGTTATGAAATGAATTATTTGAGTTTATCTTGTTAGATTTTTTTCAGTAAGTCAAAAAAAAAAAAGAAGAAATGGGGGGGGGGGGGGTACGTGTTATAGTATACTCGAGTCGGGGAATTACTTGGTGCTCCTCGATATATGAGCTCAGGCGGAGAATGTGCCCAGTGCAGTATGCTTTCTCAAGCTATATAATTTAGATAGTCTTTTTGGAGTTGTTATACCCTTCCTTAAAATTATATAGGCTAGTTCAGTTAAGTAAACAAGTTAATTTAGGGCGGCGACTTCAAGTTCCAATATTAATTTATATTTGGACCAAATAGTATTTTAGTATGTGATTATTATTAGAGTTCTGACAGCAGTATTCAATATATATATTAAGATTATTTCCTTTATTTCAGATTCCGTCCCAGTTGTTGGAAAACGTGGGTTTTTATAAACGGTAAATGGGGAAAAAAAATCTGAACAGGCAGTTTGTTAGAGTTGTCTTTCCTTCGATTTATTATTTTATTATATAAGCTCGACGTCGTCATGGTTGAAAAATGTAGATTTAAATAATTAAGATGTTGAGGCAATTTGTATTAACATCTAAGCAGTGTAACACTGATGAAATCGCATGAAAGTACAGTGTTACCGATTGTGCAAGGTAAATGATAGGAAAGCCAGCTTTTATACAAGAATGTGACGTAGACCGCGTGGCCTAATGGATAAGGCGTCCGACTTCGGATCGGAAGATTGCGAGTTCGAGTCTCGTCGTGGTCGGAAGTACTTTTTTTTTCTCTCTCTCACACTGTTTACAAACTGTCATTTGTAAAACGTATTCATTTTAATTAATTTGAGTGATGATTTTATTTTCACTCAAAGATTTAATTTAGTAAAGATTTTTGAATCATTGCGATAATTCAGCTTGAATAGGTAACTAAAATAAGCGACCAGATAAAAAGGACTTTTTTATCAATTCCTAGGTTGGTCGTAACTCATCGCCAAGATAACAAAAATAAAAAAAAAAACATATCACTTTCTTACAACATGTACATATAATGTCAGAATATAATGCTAGAATAACACATATTAAATCAACATCAATACTAGTATTCTTTGTGTTCAATGTGCTAAGTATTTAATGAAGCATTCAGATAAACAGTAAACATCATTGATTCGGTACTTTTATTCGAAATTACATTTCATTTATCTGCAAACTTCAGTGTGAAAGGAAATAATGCAATTCAATTTTGTTTTAATTGATTATAACAGATACAGTGTAATTATGCTCTTGACAGAAGCATATATATATATGTGTGCATAGAAAATTCAGATGACTTAATTAACAGGTTAAGCGTTTTTTTCGCCTACCCAGGCTTAAAGGCATCAGTATGCTTGTTGTGGTTAACAATTTCCCAGCGACCAATCCAAGGACCTGTTATTGTAGTATCGAAAGGGTCCAAGTCATTTTTCTGTGAAAAGAAACATATATTGCGATTCAAAGATGGAACGTAATTCAAAATATATATCTTAAAGATCACATTATATCATTTATTCATGTTGGAAAAAATAAAGGTAACAGCAGAAGGGGGTCCAAATGGTACATATGGCTGACCCTGTGCATGCACATGCAGTTTAAATATTTCGTAGTCATTTTTAAAAAACCAAAATTAATATGTATTCGCTAAATAAAAAACTTTTCATGCATCTGTTTTACCTGTTTGAAATATTTTTTCTGCCATATTTCTTTCCTATCCACGGAAAAGAATTTCTCCCAGTCCGGCTCCTTGATCTCCTTTTCGGCAGACCGGAAAGGGACTCCTTCTCCTATGTCGTAAAATCCCCAATGATGCTTAGGAGACTGCCACCGCAAGTCAACACTCCAACGAATTTCTTTGGAATAATTCATCAAGCTGTTGAAATATTCGACGGTCTTAATTTATTGTCATACAAATGGCTACTGTCTATGAAGCTAATTTTTAGCTCTACTGGTCAGAGACCAGAAGAGCTTATGCGATAGTAAGGTGTCCGTCGTCCGTCCGTCTGTCTGTCCGTCTGTCTGTAAACAATTTTTCAAAATGCTACTCCTCCTACAGTTTTGGTCTGATTTCAATATAACTTTAGACTACACTAAGATACACAAAATAGTGCATCGGTTTTTGATTTTGGTGAACGATGTTGCCATGGTTACTAAAAATAGAAGTTTCTGTGAAATTCCTTTAAAATGCTACTCCTCCAACAGTTTTGGTCTGATTTCAATATTACTTGGCAAACAAGTAGACTACACTAAGATACATAAAATAGTGCATCAGTTTTTGATTTTGGTGAACGGTGTTGCCATGGTTACTAAAAATAGAATTCTCTGTGAAATTCCTTTAAAATGCTACTCCTCCTACAGTTTTGATCTGATTTCAATATAACTTGGCACACAAGTAGACTCTACTAAGATACATAAAACAGCGCATCGGTTTTTGATTTCAATGAATGGTGTTGCCATGGTTACTAAAAATAGAATTTTCTGTGAAATTCCTTTAAAACACTACTCCTTCTACAGTTTTGGTCTGATTTCAATATAACTTGGCACACAAGAAGACTACACTAAGATACATAGAATAGTACATCAGTTTTTGATTTCGGCGAACAGTGTTGCCATTGTTACTAAAAATAGAATTTCTGTGAAATTCCTTTAAAACGCTACTCCTCCTACAATTTTGGTCTGGTTTCAATATAACTTTGCACACAAGTAGACTACACTAAGATACATAAAATAGTGCATCGGTTTTTGATTTCGATGAATAGTGTTGCCATTGTTACTAAAAATAGAAATGTCTGTGAAATTCCTTTAAAACGCTACTCCTTCTACAGTTTTGGTCTGATGGCAATGGCTTCTTTTCTCATCCTTTGTTATAAGTACAAACCAGTAGAGCTACAGTCTCGACAGAGACTTCTGGTTTAAATTGCAGTGTATCATATAATGTAAATTATGATGAATACCTTCTATGGGGCGTCAAGTTGTTGAAGAGAAGAAGCCCACCATATTTGATAGGTAATGTCAGAATATCCTTTTCTGTATCAACATCTGTGTAAAGAGAAACTTTTTCATAGAGGAATTTTAAACTTTCCTTGCATTTGGAACAAATGAAAACATAGTCAGAAAGTTAATAATAAGTAAGAGAAAATTAAACATTTCAGTCTTTAAATTCAAGCGAATTCGGAAAAGGTCTTGCTTATCCACTTCAATGGAATCAATGCGCAGGTTTCAGTGAATTTCCGGTAATATAGCTTGTAATTTTTTTACGAGTACAATTACCCAGAGTTTTCTCCATCTCTTCCATTTCCAGCATGACGTACCACGTGGGACCTTTACAGCATTGATGCGTAGCGACTTTACCCTTCCGATGTCCATTTTTGGCAACCTTATAAAAATCACGATACAAATAATTCGCTTATGGATTGCTTCTATATTTATTTACCTTTCATCCACAATTGGAAAACTGTCAGATACCTTAATATTTATTAATATATATAAAGATATACTGAAGTACCTGCATACAACCATTTTCCTCAGTGGCATCGAGAAATGGAATCCATGCTGTGGCTATCATGTGGTCATAAGACTCATTACTGAAATAAGCACTGTCTGAAATGGACATCCAATAATTCTGTTTGTTGGTTATAGGAAACAATCACAGGCACTTCATTTGCATATTTTATTAATATACATGCAAAAAATATGAAAAATTAAATGCATGTCTCCGTAATTGAAGGGGGATTTTGATTTTCATTGTCCATTTGTTTGTCTGTTTATCCACAAGAATTAATCCTTCATGCTTATAAATTTTAGATCTATCAGTTGGAGATGTTTTTTTTAATCCTTTTCGTGTGTACTTCTTGTGATAAAACTTCTTTGTGTACAAACACATTGGACCAATTTAACTTCGATTTTGGCCCAGTTTTGCTAAATTCTACCGTCCAAATTTTCATTTTTGCCATAACTTTTGAACAATTGGTACTAAAGCTTTCATACTTCAAAATAAGTTCAAATGGATATTTCTTTTGATAAGACCTTCTCCTGGGTACATTTTTGTAACCTTGATCTTGAATTGGAAATTGTCTTAATTAAAAAATAATAACCATGGCTTCAGTGGTTGGAGCTATAGGACTTTCATAGTCCAAGGACTTTCCTTGTGATGTGAACCTTATTTTTGTTCAATGTTGACTTTGACCTTAAAATTTCACTTACTTAAAGAAATAACCATTGCCTATTTGGGTTAACTGCAGAATTGTAACTCTTTGGTTTGGAACATACGAACAGACAAACCAAAGTCTGTCCGAATTTTCTCAACCAGAGAGCCACAGTTCTTCATTTTTTAAGCGGTTAGCTTCGCTAGCCGCTATATGGCATGTGTCGGTCCAACCGGAAACCTCCATAAGGCGCTACCTATCGGCATCGCTTTATCGCTCGTAACCTTATCCTTCTGCAACCAAAACCGGAAACTTCCACAAGGACCTACCTATTGACAACGGTAACTTCAGCAAATGATTTGTATACTGTCGGCGTAATACGCCCCCTGGTTAGAGATTGACAATATGCTGTGAAGTCTGACTAAAGCCAGCCCCTACTATATCACTTCGTACTAACGAAGTATATGCTGTGTATTAAGAGTGGCTATTATAACGATTATATCGAATTCTTATTAGTATATTTACCAAAGCATTGACAATACTTACAACACTTACTTTTAAGAACTGAGAATTTGATCCTTATTATGTTCCCCAAACGAAGTTGGGGAACATATTGTTTTTACTCTGTTTCTTATTATGTTCCCCAAACGAAGTTGGGGAACATATTGTTTTTACTCTGTTTCTTATTATTATTATTATTATTATTATTCCTGGGAAAATTTTGTCCTCGAGTGATCTTGTAAACAACACATCCGAGTAAGGTAAAATGTTTTTAGGGTCAGTAGACATGTTATGTAGATTTGCCGAACAAAGGTCATTTTGCGCGCACGTGCTTGCAAGAGCGCGCACGTGCAACACGAAAAATTACGATTTAATTGATATCGGCGTAACTTTTTACATTTTTGATGAAATGCTTTGAAACTGATAATATAAGGATATATTAGTAGCATAGACAATAAGACATGGTCAAAATAGCAAGATCTCACGCGCATGCACGTGCGCTTCGCTCTGATTGGCTGAAACTAAAGTCTCAATATCTTTCTTGTTTTTCGAGGAAATCCTTTGAAATTTTGAACATAGCCATGCATTAGGATATCCTACAAAATGATTTATAAAAATTATCATGAAAACACGTGCATGCACGTGCGCTGCAATCTGATTGGCTGAAACTTTAAATAGCTATAACTCCCTTGGTTTTCAACCAAACAGGATGTGATTTGGAACATAGATAGATATAATATACTTCTACAAGAAGGTATGGTCACCATGCACATCCATACACGTGCGTGTACGTGCACTGCAATCTGATTGGCCGAAACTTTAAATAGCTATAACTCCCTTAGTTTTCAATTAAACAGGATGAGATTTGGAACATAGATAAATATAATGGACTTCTACAAGAAGGTATGATCACCATGCACAATAATACACATGCGTGAACGTATGCTGCAATCTGATTGTCTGAAACTTTAATCAGCTATAACTCCCTTGGTTTTCAACCAAACGGAGTGGGATTTAGAACATAGATAGATGTAATGGA